CAGGAATCGCACCCAACCCTGCACTCTGTATTCAGGGGGAAATTCTCAAAATTACTCACTCAGCCGACTTCACTGAGCTTCCAATTTACACATTTGCTTAAATCATGAACTAGCCCCAGGCTACTCAGAACATTCGAATTGGACTCTCTACTTCAGATGCGGTATCTTTGACAAACTGAAGCAACTCGCACACGGTGACAAACCACTCAATTTCACAAACGTGCAAAAAAATGCAGACTCAAAGTTGAAAAACTAACTAATGGAAAAGCTCCCCCAAGCAGAGACTTGGGCCTCTTTATTCCTAACTAACACTCCGAGATGTCACTTGCTGTGATGCGAGCTCCCAACAGGTGCGACGCCATCCGACCCGGCAGTTACCGCACCCGTTGAGCTCTTATCTACTCCTATGCTACTCAAAACGGCTGAAAGTTCCAATTCCAAGACTCCTTCGTCTCCTTCAAAACAAAGATGAACAAATTGAGCTTCATATCTAGTTGTCCATGCCCAGTTAATCCGCTTGCTGTCAATTCTTTCACTCGACGCTCCGGCTCCACCACGCGTTTGAATTTTCTCTGAAATCCCTTCAATTTTGAAGTCCAAAGTCTTTTCTCCGAAGTCCGCAGGTTCACACAAATTCAAATTCAAATCTCCGAATTAATAACTTCCTCAAACGGACTCTGTTGAGGCTAAAATTTTGCACACATGTGTGTCCGACTGAAATCAACAACCCTACCAAGTTGACACTCCAACGCAAAGATATGGCTTCCACAAGATCCATGCTCCAATGTCAAAGATCAAAGGTCGAAGTGGTTAAGGCCGAAGTCCGAAGACCCTTCGTCCAAAGGCATTTCTGTGCCTTCACCTATCCATACTAGCCACTTTCGACACTCATAACTCAATGATGTCTTATACGTTTAAAGAGTTCTTAGGCTCATTAGAACCATCGTGCCGAGTTCTATCTATCGAGACCCTAACTAACCCACGTCGTTTCTAATTGAAAAAAATATGAGGTATTTACTCTATTATATCATAACTCATCTAATTCAACTTTACTGCCTACAAGTAAAAACACTAACTTAAAAGAGAAGAAGCTAAATGAATTCCACTACTACTAACTCAGCCTTTACCACACTATCCACTATTAAATCTACTTTGTAATATTTTTATTCTAAAAGTGTGAAACTACTAGTCTTCTATCTCTCAAACTTCTCGTTTTGAAAAAAAAAAGTAAAAACTAAGCATCACACTTGTTCTTCTTCATGTTTGATAATTTTTGTTTGTTGTAGTCTTTACTTGTTATCACTTGAAATTTCCGGAAATGAAGCGATTCTTATTGTCAAATTCTGAAATTCAAAACTTGGTGAATGCTGAAGAGAATTGGAGAAAATTACAAAAGATGTGAGGACATTTCATGATTGATTTCTTGTGAATTCTTTCCACAACTTTATCCAGAGATTGTCAAGTCGTTAGCAATGTCAAACTCGAGTTCTATTCCAAAGAATATCATCATTGAGACACGTCAGCGGCAACTACATTGTTCTTCGTTGAAGCAACTTTTGAAGTTGGTTGAATCAAAGGCTGAAGGAAAACAAAAACTTGCTTATATCGTACAATGACATGGAAACAGAAATCAAAAGTTGTCTTTTTCTATTTCCACAATTCGCTTGGAAATATGAACTCAGAACTAACATGCTTTATGTTCTCGATCAACCTAATGACCTTTCAAAACTAATCACAAGGAAGATGTACTACTGCAAGTGGGTGCATTATGTTGATTCTCTCAAAGTCTCCGATAACCTTCCTACATTGCTTGTAAACTATCAAGAGATCTCCTAAGATGTGGATGTTTTAAGCAAGGTGGAGATAAATGCAAAGTTTAAAACTCAACTTCAGGTGTTGGATACGTGTCAGATGTATCAATTGACAATCGTCAAAAGAATTGCAATTTGGCCAAGCTATCTGAATCCATCACATATATTCTCAAAACAACAAAAATTGTTGGTCTTAAGAGTATGATCAAATACACATAGCAAGAAAAAATTCATTGTTGAGATGGTGGTGTTGAAGTGAAAAACGAACAATACGTTTGAGCAAATTGGTCGCATATGATATGCTAATATCTGAATTTGATCATGAGAATGAAGGTAATCTGACGGAATGGGAGAAGAAGATGAAAATTCATTCAAGTAGTATATCTTCAGGTTTATTGCAATGATTGACCAGAATTCTTATGAGACATAGATTTCCTATTCAAAAGGAATTAATATGCCAAAATGTCCAATTCAATTGGTTGCAAATTTGCATTGATGCATGTTCGATGATCTGTGAGATTATGAAATTTGTTGGTTTGACTTGTTTGGTCAATGCAAACAAAATGTTACTTCAATTTATCCGAAGGAAACGCATTTAATTGCTCAAACAAATGTCAAACAAGTTGATTCCAACTGAGCGGAGTATGCTAAGAAATGTTACATAGTTATGGTGTCATGTGAGATGTATTGATCTTAAATCATCGCTCTTATGATTATCATGACTCGCAAGTCTAATGAAACTGTCACAAAGATTTGCTTCTTAGGACGGGCCTAGCAAAGTTAGATTTCATCCAATGCATTGAATGGACAAACACAAATGTTGCACTTTCTGTAATGATTACACTCATTTTATCTAGATGAAAAGATTAGATTCATATGGAGCGCCGCATCAAGTCATTTTTCAAATCAAATCATGGAATAAACTACAGAAGTGAATATCATAAGCAGAATTTGTAGTTATTTCTTCATGTTATTTCTCTATTATGTTATGACTACGGTTTATTTTAATGTAAAAAGTTGTCTTGTGTTAGGTTTTTGTCGAGAATATCACGGGTCAGGTTGGCAAAATGTTGGATCCCAGACGACGAGATCTTGATATATGATACCTGAGAGTAAGAGATTCTAATCTAGATGTCACGGTCGCATCGCGAACACATATGGGGAAGTAAATACAAGATTGCATCCAAATGTCGGTGCAGTTTTGATATTCTCAACAACGCAGTCACGTCTCATCAACTCGGCGGTCTTTGCTATCTAGATTCACTTCATCTGAGTTAGCTTCTAGTCATAAAACGAGAAGGTATGTGTCTTAGTGCTTAAGTAGATCAACGCAAGTAGATGTATCAATAAAGTTTTAGTTCTAGTTTTGCACTCTTGTGTAATCTTTGTCTTGTGTTTGCCTTAGCCTAGATTGGTTACAGTTAGGCTTTCTAGTCTCAGTTTGAGCTCTTAGTCCGACCTTGCGTGGTTCATATCATTAGTGATATATACTTTGAAAAAAAGACGTGACTTGTCGAAGATGTAACAAGAATGATCACATCAAGAAAAATTATAATGTAAATGTCAAAGACGTTGTTCTCCCTCCATTGATGAACGATACAAAGAACTTCGACGCCAAGAAGTATGATCTTTTAGATGACGACGTATGATATCAACGGGTTATTTGCTATGGAATCTAGTAACTTGTAAGAATCTTGTCAGTTACATGTCAAGTCAAGAATGTTTTTTTCAATAAGTCTAGTTCATTGAAGGGCAATGAATTCTCAAGCTATTTCTATTCATAAGGAAAAATCTATTTGATCATTATGTGATTAATAATCAAAGAATAACGCGGTTACAAGTGGAATTCTTAGCAGAGTATTGAGCTAGTCAAGGTTAATATCAAATTCAATCCAACTAATATGTTGATAAAAATTATTCTTTTGAAGAGTTTCATATGAATCAGTATCACTATGCAAGTTTTTCATAATAACACAAGTAATATTTGCTAGTATCCTATTTTCAATTATGTTTTTATATAATTATTTTACACAGTGATGATTACTGTTTAATTCTAGTTAATTGTTTTGTAAAAAATTATTTGTATAAAATTTATTTTAAAAATTTTTCATAGAAAAATCATATAGTTTATGATGCTTCTCTTATTTTTATTCTAGATTAATATTAATTAACCTTTGTGAAAAGAATGTCTTGTGTTAAATTTCATTCTAAAATCTGTCATGAACTAATAATTTAATTTACAAAAATTATTATTTTTTAACACGAGTTGAGAAAAATATCATTGAATTTGAATCCGATTATGGATTATATTCAAATTAAAATTATTTAAAATCTAAAGTATGATCTATATTGAGATATTTAATACTAAGATTTATATATTAACTTTATGTGTACATTTTTTAATATATTGTCAAGCATGGGCACATATTCATTTGTGATATGAATCTACAATTTATTACATCCACGTCGAGAAAAAAAAAGATTATTGCAATCAATTGAAATTTAATATGATAAACATTCGCTCTGGCATGTGAAATATTTATTAAAAACTGTACGAAAATATAGAAATAATTCTTTGGAGTATTAATAATAATTATTTATATTTTGGAATATTTGTTAATTCTCATAGTAGACGATTTACCAATGATATTGATAATGGGATGAAAGAACAGTGAAATTTATCATGAAGTGTGTTCAAATATATATCTGAATGGATTAAATATAAACTTCACATATTTGAATAGAAATGGACTCAACTTTTTGTTGGTAAATTGAACTTGAATTCAGAATGTTAATAAATCTATCATGATTATAAATCTAGAAAATTAAATATCATACAATGAAAGTAAATAAGAATTCAATTCTTTGAAATTTATTTTTTGATTGAACAACTAATTTTTTTTTAAAAAAAATCACAATTATAAAAAATACATATTCTAATAGAAGAAATCAATAAAGTCCTATTTTAGAATTATAATTATTTTAAAAATATATTTTTTTCATATGATTTTTATCGAAATATAATGCAAATTTAAAAATATAGATAGAAATATAAATACATCTTTACATGTGAAATTATAACTCTTGCAATTTCTTAAACATCTTAATGAAATATTAATATTAAACACTAAGAATATGACAACGAAAAATATTTATAGTAGAATTGTATCATTGGTCAAGATTTTCGTTACGGCAATTAGAACATATTGAAAATCAAATGTCGCGCAACCTAGGTAAGCTGTTTAAAAGCCAAGATAGTTGGGTACGATATTTCTCCCTAAGTTGTGCAGAATTGCGTGCACATAAGTTGAAATAGCACATGTTGAAGTGCTCATTAAAAATAATGAGCACTTCAACATGTGTATTCTCCTGCGTGGTTAGAGTTTTACCTATCTCAGCGGAAAGCTTGCTCTCGTTAGATCCAGAAGGTGTAGTCCCGTTCGAATCCTCACCGAAAGCTGCAGTTGGTGGCCGAGAGGAGCCTCTCCAGCTGCTCCGAGGTTCACTGCATGAGCACCAAGTGAATTTATCACATGCACCGCGGTATCATCAACACGTAAGAAAAAGGATCGAGCGGATAGATTAATCACGATCGGCGACCATGGCCGAGGAACCCGCTGGTAGCGTCAACACCGGTGCTGCGCAGAGATTCACATTGCCAAGAGCAGAAGTAGCAGGAGAACTGTAAGTTTCTGAGCACGAATCGGCAAAACTCGCAGACTATACACTCGAACTTATCCGTTGACACACGTCTGGCCTGACGATCGGCGAGTGACATTTTCGAGTCGTTCAATCTCTGGACGGCGCAGTGAGATCTTACATGAGAAATCAGGCCGCCTCGCATTCTTCTGCAGTCCATGCTGTGCACGGGGTGAACGGGAAGAATACTGTACCGCTATTCTGCACATCCCCTCTGCTGCAGCTGCAGCAGCAGCAGCACCTTCGACTCGATGTTTTGACTCCAGTACCCGAGAAGAAGTTCTGCTATTGGCTTTCGGAGTTACAGGACTAAATTTTGGGGCCTCGATCAGTCTGAGACCCACCAGAACACCTCGCGCTTGCACAAAAAGCTGACTTCTGTAGTTTCTCGTGTCACCCGCGTCGTCATCATTTCTCATTCATCAGTCTCACACTTGGGCTCCTTAGACGTACACTTCGTATTCTACGCCGCCGCGTTGAACAATTTCATAAACCCTCAACCTCGGCTTCTCAGACATACCAAATTTCTCGTCTCGATTGCGGTAGAGCGTATCCTGACTTGTTACTATCAACATAAACATAAAGAGTCCGTCTCCGAGATCTTGGTCAAGATGCTGAATCCTTACGAGTCTTCTGCTGATAGTCATAGAGCACTCTTATTAGTCATATTGCTTCATGCTTGCAATCTTTAGGCTCAGATGCGAAACGAGAGGTGGGAAGATGGAGCACAGGCAATGATGCTACACAGGTGTGTAATTCTGTATCTAGATCGGACCTCAACTCAACCAGATACAGATGCACGGAGTAAAGCTTCGACGTCTTAAAGGGGCCGACGGCAGTAGCACCAATTTCATCATGACGCGAGAGCTTGCTGATGCAGGGCGGGTAAAGAACAAACGTACAATTCCGTTCTACTCGAGAGACAGTGGGAACTCCAGCGCACGTCGTAACCTCGGATCGCCTTCCACTTGCTGTAGGATTCAATGCCGATCGGTAAGTATGCCTCGGACCGATGCTGTCAGACGTAGGTGCAGAGCAATGCACTGGGTCTGACGAAGTGCTGTGAAGAGCCGCATCCCTGCGGGTCACTCTGACTTCTTTCAGCGGATTTCACCGTTCAGCTTTAGCGCCAGGATTGGCCATCATCGTGGCATACAGTTGCTGAGGGAGTTAGTCGCACTTTGACTGGTCTTTTTCGGGACAGTACATGTCAGAACCGGAAACGCCATTTCAATCTATTACGTTAGAAAGAACTTTCCAACCACCCTATTCAGTCACTTGCAGTTAAAATTGGGCCGCTCGAGAAAACCATTTCATCTTCGTAGCTCAATAGACTGGACGAACCATTATCCGCTACGAGAGCCACTATTGAACTCATCAGGTGACAAGGCCCATGAGGTTGAAGGACTCCTTATGGCATACGTGGATGAATTCGGCCTCAAGGGGTACATCCCAGAGAAGTTGTCCAAGCGAGGGGGATCAACGTTCGTGATAATTTTCTAGCTGGAGGAAAGGGAAGCGTTCAGTCATGTTCATATACAAGAACACCAAGACTGACTTAAGGCTTCGACGAGGAATTGGGTGAAGTTTACATTGTAACACAGAGTTTAGGGTTTGAAATCAACTGTGAGAACCCGCCTCTTAATGAGCCCGGAGGCTCCAGTGAAGGAAACAGATTTTTTAAAGAGCAGTATCCAGCCTGACATCAGAGACTGCTTGACACTCAGCAGAAAACGGCATAAATTTCGCTCGGGGGTTCATATCTTATCTTCAGACATCTTGGTGATAAACGGGTAGCATGAATTGAATGAACGTGAAGTACATGGATGGCAACCTACCAACAGGAAGAGGGACTGAGACTAGAGTTCGGCCATCAAGATAAAAGAAGCTTTACCCATAGGGTCATAAATTTGGACATTTACGAAGAACGAGAAGATACTGACCAGGGGCGACAGAGTTTTATCATATATATAGGCAATCAAGTCATGGAAACGTCGAAGGTGGTCTAAATCTCACGTGTTCTTTCGAAGCAAACTTTGACAGTAGAGAGGCGCTTATATTGCGACATGACTTGCATGGTTAAGAATCTAGTGCTCATTTGCAATTCATGAAGTGAGTGATTGCTTGGCTACGTACAAGGCCGGCCTCAATAAACTCGTGACTACATCAGAGAACCGTAGATGACTGCCCAGTGGGAGGATGAATCCCGTTCGGGCTTCAATCGAGCAGACAGTCGTGTAAGCTGCATCGTAATCTATCAACGCCTGCGCGCATATGACTTCAAGCTCTAGTAATGCTCGCTCGATGCCAACCGGAGAGGCCCGTCTCGGTCTTGTCTTACCTCGCAAGTCTAGTTCTGTATCTAAAAAATTGAGGTTCTTGGTGTACATCTAGCTCTGAAGCTGAAGCTGAGGGTGGAAGAAGGGGGCTTCGTCAGTCCGTCCAGAGCCCGGAACGGCTGACAATCATCGATGCAGAATAGGTACTCATCATCTGACTGGGTGCCCGTGTTGTGGAGGTAAATACAGGAAAATCTACAAATATACGATCAGTGACTAAGTGCCAATGCTCGTTCAAGCTTTTGTAACTCTCCCGAGAGAATGCAGGACTCAAGGGTAAAAGATCTATGTACTCAAAAGTGCTACTAATAGTCAAATGCCTCTCTACTTCTCGTGCTAGTGCTGTCCGGGGTATACAGGGGCGATTGCACAGACGACAGAACCTTCGGTCTAATTTCCTCGAGCTGTCGAATGACTTCGGCGATGTCCGGCCGCACGACGGGCGTTGGTGCACAGCAGCCCATAGCTAATTGCAAAGCCTGTAAAAGTCCATCTTCAGAAGGGGTGCGCACGGTTCCTCTCACCAGATCGAAGTCGAAGAGGTCCGTTGTTTTCTCCTCCAACACAGCAGCCTTGACCATGGTGGGCAGATCCACCACCTCGTCAGACTCCGGAGATTTTCCAGGTCTTTTTCCCGTCAGCACCTCGAGCAGGACGATCCCGAAGCTGTAGATGTCCGTCTTGGTGTTGGCTCGCTTGAGCTTGATGAGCTCGGGTGCCTTGTAGCCTTGCGTACTGGCGGCGGTTATGACGTCGTTGGTGGCGGCTGGGATCATCAGCTTCTCGAGGCCGTAGTCGGACAGATGCGCCACGTAGTTATCATCGACGAGGATGTTCTTGGACTTGAGGTTTCCGTGGATGACTGGAGTGCTCAGCCCTGTGTGAAGGTGCGCCAGCCCTCTTGCGGCACCCAGCACAATTTTGTGCCTCCGAGCCCAGCTCGCTCCAGGTTTGCCGGACGACCCGTCTGCAAAGATTGCAAAGCGCACAACGTTAGAGTTGGGCTTCTCCGACGGCCCGAGGAACTCTGGTCATGCACAGGGTGATTCACCGAGACAGTTTTTCCTACGATCGTGGAACATGTCACAAGTGTCCTGATTGGGCAACCTCTTCAAACCATTACGAGATGTGGTCGGCCATCCTGCCTAACAAATTCCCGTGCAATATCAGACAACATTTGTGATTTGTGTCTCGACAACAGACACAAATCAGAGACAAGGCCAACTGCTCCAAGGTTTTTTTTTCTAAGATCGAACGTCGGTAAAGCGCTTGGAATTGCTGGCAAACGAGACTGTTACGACTGGTCGTATCATGCACTGGGCATAACGATAGTGATCGGACGTACAGAGATGTCTGCAGTTCGTGAAGGTCGTGAGGGACGTTTAGATATATACCAAAAGATACATTACAAGGAGTGGACGAAATGACCGCAAATGAAAGTCGTCAACCAGAAAATAGGTCACAAAAGGTACAGCTATCCTCTCGAATGGACATAATTCCATGCCGGCAGAGGAGATTTCAGCGGAAGACTCGAAGAAGGTGGAATGGAATTCCGAAGACTAGTGTAAAATGGATGACAGTCGAGGCCCATGAAGCCCTTCGAGGTGGTCAAAGAAAGTTACACAACTTCTCGCGTAGTAGTTCACGAAGAAGGAAGAAGGCAAGATGCAGTAAGAAAGAAGAAGAAGAGAGAATAAAAGGAATTGTTTCAGACTACGAGCACGGAATTTGGATACAGACTTTTCGGACTGCGCTAAGAAACTACGAAATGAAGGTTCAAGATAAAACATCAGATTGAACAACATACAGCGTTCGTTTCTTCGACCAAGATTGCTGTGATTCATCAAAACAAAAGAGGTTCAACGTATTCTTATTTTCGGTTCATGACAATCAGCGAGATCCTCTCATCGAGCGGGCCGTTTTCGAAGAAATTCCCGGAAAGGGCCCTCGAGAATCCGTGACTTTTAGGACAAAGAGACCGAGCGGAGAAGCAGACGAGTGGTGGAGATCGAGCCGAAGCACGCATTCGAGTCGTCCCGGCGGGAGAACCGGGGATCCTGAGCAAAGCTCGGAACGGGATGGCGCGAGAATCCGCAGAATTCGAGAGGGAAGGGGAGGAGAGGGAGACTCACTGTGCAGGAGGTCGGCCAGGCTGCCGCGGGGCATGTAGTCGTAGACGAGGAGCTTCTCCTCCTTGGGGCCGGAGTAGTAGGCGCGCAGCGGCACGAGGTTGCGGTGGCGGATGAGGCCGAGCTCCTGGATGGCCGGGACGAATTCCGCGCGGTCGCGGGCGGTGCCCTCGCGCAGCAGGCGCAGCGCGATGGTGTGCCCGTGCGAGAGCTTGGCCTTGTACACGGTGCCATAGCTCGTCTTGCCGAGCACCTCGCCCGTGGCGTTCAGCACGTCCTCGGCCGTCAGCGCCTCGCCGCCCTCGAAGTGCACGATCTTGCCAGCCTCGCCCCCCGCCTCCTCCTCCTCGAACTCGCGCTTGAAGTCGACCCCGACCTGCTGCTTCTCGTTGGGCATGCGCGCGCGCGCCTGCGTCAGGAAGATGAGCAGCGAGCCCGCCACCACGAAGAACGCCAGCACGCCGATGATTATGCCCGCCACCACCTTCGGGCTCAGCCCTCCGGACGCGCGAGCCGTTGCGCCCGCGCCCCCGCCCCCGCCCGCCGTCGAGCCGTTGCAGGCGGCCGCCAGTGGCGCGCCGCAGAGCGCCGGGTTGCCCGCGAACGCACCGGCGTCGAAGGCGGTGCCGAAGCTCGGCACGCTGCCGCTCAGGTTGTTGTAGGCCACGCTGAAGGAGCGCAGGTTCGCGAGCTGGCCGAGCTCGGTCGGAATGGCGCCGGAGAAGGAGTTGTTGCTCAGGTCCACCGTGGTCAGCGCCGCGAAGTCGCCGAGGAAGGCCGGAATCGGCCCGCTCAATTGGTTGTTCTGCAGGCGCAGGTCCGTCAGGACCGGGCACTGCGTGCCGGGATTGGCCGGGTTGGGGATCTCGCCGTCGAGCGCGTTGGAGTCCAGCGCCAGCAGCGTCAGCCTCGGACACAGATTCCACAGAGAAGGCGGGATGTTGCTGCTCAGCCGGTTGCGGTCGAGCGCCAGCACGGACAAGGAGGCGGCATTGCCGATCTCCAGCGGGATGGCGCCAGTCAGCACGTTCTCCCTCAGCCAGAGCACGGACAGCGCCCCCAGCAGCCCGAATTCCTTGGGGATGCTCCCCGTCAATCCGGTGGCGCCCAAATTTAATTCCGTCACGACCACGTCCGCGTCGCGCGCTAGGCTCTGGTTCGCTCGCACCTCCGGGCTGTCGCAGTCCAGGAGCGTCCCGTTCGTATACGCCCAGACCGTGCCGCGCCACGAGCAGATGGAGCTGGTCGCGTTCCACGTTTGCAGGAACGGGTTATCGCCGTTGCTCAGCGTCGGCTTCGCCGTCAGCAGGTTCGTGACATCTCGGTTGAAATCCTGCGCCAGCGCACGCGGAACGCAGCTGGCCAGCGCGACGACCGCCAGGATCCACAACGCCGCGCGCTCCATGTCCGCGCCCTGTCCTCTCGAGCGATCTCGTCCACTTCCCCCTTACCAGACGCGTTCGGTCCCGCGGTTCATGTTTCTTCGGACCGCCCGCGGCGTCGGCTCCGAACCTGTCGATTCCGTCCCGGCGCTCCTCGCGCCCACTGCCTGCTCACGCTGCGCTGCGCTCCCGCTTCAGCTCATCGGCGCGGGCGCTCGAGAATTCCATCGGAGGTTCGCAGATTCGGGCATGAGATTGCGCTGCGGCTGCTTCCTTCCTTCCTTCCGGCGGAGCTAAAGCGAGATCATTTCCCCAATGCCTCCCCTCGTTCACGAATGCTGGATCGCCACAAATTTCCACAGGCCCTGTCCGCGGGAGGCATGCTTCTCGTGCACTCCGACCTCTGCAATTTCCCGTCTGTCCATGCGCACGCGCGCGATGGGAGCCTGGAGGCGATCGCGTCCCGAGTACTAGGCGAATGTGAATCCAAAATCCTGCAAAGGCGAGCACGAGCGCGGGCGCGAGAAAAGCCGGTCCGTCAGCGTATCGGTAGGCGAGCGAGCGCGCCGCCCATCGAGAGCTGCGAAGCCTCGGGTTTTTGTGAACGACGATTTCCGCTGAGAAGCCGATGATCTAGAGACGACGCGACCCGACTGACATGGGCATGGCAACACTCATGGGCATGCGACAGCTGCGAGAGGAATTTCAAAGCCGAACATGAGACCTGTCGCTACCGCTGCTGCTGCTGCTGCTCGTAAACAAGCATCCGAATGAGTGACCGGTTGCAGCTACTTGCGTCGTCGCCGGAGGAGCGATAATAGCGCCGCACGCATCCTGCTTCTGCTGCTGCTCTGCTCTACTCTCCTCAGCTCGTATTCCCCGGCGGATAAAGTGGCCCCCAGCCGAGGCCGCAGCAACTGCCGATTTCCACTGTGCGCAATGCAAGCTCTCGAGCTGTCCGCGCAAACCGAGCAGCGCGGATCAGGTTGGTTTGCAAATCCGCAGTCGCATGAAAACAGGGCCAATGTTCTACGCTGCCGTCCCGTCCCGTCCCCTCCACTCCCTTCCCCTCCTCCCTCTCCGCGTCCGCAGAGCTCGATTCGCGGGGCACTCTGTGTGGGACTACCCAAGGTATGATTGTGCGAGCAGCTACCCACTCGACCTGACCCCTCCCTTCCCCTCCCCTCCCCTCCCCCACCCTCCACTTACTCCTCGTCTATCCGATAGACCACAAATCCAGTCCGCACAGAGAGAGAGAGAACACAACAGGCCCGACCGCTGCCACTATTACTACTGCTGCTAGTGGCAGCTCGACTCAGCTCAGTCCATGGGACGTGACACTTTTTTCGCGCTGTCCAATCTGCGCAGCCGTGCTTTTCAGCTTTTCCCTGCTCTCTCTCTCTCTCTCTCTCTCTCTCTCTCTCTGAAGGAGCTGCCGAAGAGACGAGGAGGATGTGGAGACGAGGACGAGGGTGCCGCCGCGAGGTTCGAACTCGACGAAGGGGCGGCGAGAGTGGAATGCAGAGGAGGGGAGGGAGGGGAATGGAGGGGTGGAAGTCGTCGAGGCGCAAAGGCCGTGAGCACAGCGGCGACGACACTTGCAGGTCGCGTCGATGCGACGATTGCCTCGGCGTCCCTTAACCTGCCCGCCCCCTTCGCCGCCGCCCTCTACGGGAGGGGCTGGCTGGACGTCTGTCTTCCTGTCTGGCGCCGCTGCTGCCGCTGGGTGGCGTGACGTGGCAGGTCGCGATTCTCGTCATTGCCATCTCGGCCTCGGCCTCGGCCTCGGTCGCGGTCGTCGACGGTAGGTTTCGCTTGCCTGCCGGTGGAAAGGCTCGCTTAACGGTCGCGGCGTCAGACTTTTCCACAAGAGGAGAGATCTATGGCCGCTCCGGTCAGTGCGACGACCGGTTCGCGGATGTGGCTCAAGTGAAGGATGGAGTGTGTGACAGGCTGCGTCGGGCTGCTGCTACTGCTGCCGCCTCGGGACCCGAACCCGGTACCGGTGGCAAATATGACTGGGCCCGTCCGTCGTTCCTTGCTAAGATCGGCCCTTGTACAGCCGGTCCTGGCTTCCGAATTGCGCATCGTCCCTCCTTTCGCGGCGACGTCCTCATGTACCACCTTGGTACCGTCCCTGTCGCTGTCCCTGTGCCCGTCCCTCTCTCTGTCTGCCCTTCTCGATTTAAGAACTTGCTCGTAATCTCAAAAGTCGCCACTGCGCCTCTGTGGAGGAGGGCGGAGCTGGCGAACACCGAGCATGCAACGGGACGAGTAATTTCTCCAGAGGCTCGTTGGCTTTTCTCGTTCGTCTCATTCTTCGGTGAATGATTGATTGGCCATCACTCTTGAGTTTCTGCAGCAAAAAGCCAAGAAAAACGTCCGTTTCCCCGTCCCTCATCATTAGCCAAATATTACCCAAAATATCATTTCCTTGCATAATCTACCAGTGGAGCTGGATTGCATGGATCCGATAGGATCTCCTTCTCGTAGTGTAGAGATAATTTTGGACTAAATTATTATATAATTTTATTTATCTACTTGCTTGCTTATTTACTTATTTCCTCCTCTCGAGAGATCGAAGCAACGAAACATATTCCGACAACAATTAGATGGTTCCAGTTTTCATGTATTTTTTATTTTCACAGTCTATGATTCTGCACAGCCAGTGTTATCTATTTTTATTCTGCTAATAATTACTCGGCTTATAGTGCGTTATTATTGCTGCATCCTCTGGTCTGTTTGGCCGTCTGTTCTGTTTTTGCTACAAACAGTGATGAAGAAGTAAAAGCTCGTTCCACATTCCATCTCGATACTTTCTGTGCTCTATTAGACTCACAAGAGTTTTCCCCTAGCAAGGTCGAATATTACGCAGGCTATATAAAATTGTGGGTTGTCCAATGCGCGACAGGAAACTTGTTTCCCGATTGGCTGTCAGCATGTAGACACCGGAGCTGGAGGTGGAAATAATCGCAATGGAATCCAACATAGAGAGACAGAGAGAGGTGGGTGCCGAAGGAAACGGATGGAATGGGGGAGGGAGAGAAGTCCCAGGAGATCTCCGGGGAGAAGTGACCAGTGAGGGGTGGGGGGAGGTTCTAGATCATTCCGAAGACTTGGAAAGTGGATAAAAGGCCCAACTTTGGGCCGTTGACACGTCTCGAACACTCGCTCGTCGTTGCCGGCTAACAACGACGACGACGAGCGAGGTCCCCGTCAAACGACAATCATGGTCCTGTTTAAGACAGATAGAAGAATCTCGGCCACCACGCCCTCACCTGCATCTGCACCCTCACCCTCACCTCCAACCTTTTCCCCATGGCCAGTGAGTGAGTGTTCTTGTGAGCGCAAGCCCTCTGAAGAAGAGGGAAGCAGGCTCGCTATAAGGAGAGTTTTCATAATCCACGATTCGAGCCGTGGATCGCTTCCATCTCAGCGAGTAGATGGAAGAGATCGCCCGTACTGGATGGAGCAAAGGGTCGAGCAATGTGCTCGGCCTCCTCCCTGCTTGTCCTCGTAATCGCAGCTTCTTAAGGAATTTTCTGAGAGCTCGTACCTCGCCCACTGCCCTGCCCTGGCCCGGTCTGTCCCTGGTCTTGGCTCTGGCTGGGCTGGGCTGGGTTGCTGCTCTGGTGTCCAATGTCCATGGAGGTTCTCACTTACATCTGCACTCGGAGTTGCCGGTTGCTCTGTGGAATGTTCGTTCGTTGGATTATTTTTTTCCTCAGGAGCTTATCACCTTGTGCAGTGGGTGGTCGTACCTGCCAGCTCGAACGAAGGCTCTTAGACTCGTAGCGCACCATTTCGAGCACTCGCTGTTGTTGTCGTCCTCGTTCTGAATGGGATGGCAGATTGCGTAAAGTCAAAATCGATCCTCTGCCTCTCGTGTCGGAGGAGTTTTGGCATGCCAGTACTGTTCCTGCCTGCCTGCCTGCCTCCCTCCCTGCCTGCAGACGTCCAGACCATATGTCGTTGCGACGTGGTATTGCAACATCGATCGAGCGAACAGTTGTCTTTGTCTTCCGGTACCTTCGTACCACTACAGTACACATTTAAGAAGCTGTCTGCCTGTGCTTTCGTCTTGGTCAATGTTCTTAGGACTGCATCATTTCAGTCGCTGAAGTGGATTTCAATCCGAGACTTATCGATCAGATAAGCCCCTCCCTTCATCCCGTTTATGACCACGAGTATTATATTCCATCTTTTGAGTACGAGGTGGGGGCTGGTCACGTCACTCGCCACAAATTGGAAACCCCCTTCTTAAATATATGTATCGCGATACACGAGTTTATATTCGATAGGAATCTATCTACACATGATTTGAAATATCCATCATGGATCTTGTGAACTCACAACAAAAGTCATCCAGGTGACCCCAGTTGATAGAAGAGTTGAGTACCCCAAAGTCGATGGATGAACTAGTCGTACAGCACTTGAGAAAAAATGGAGGGACGCTAGCCCTCGGGTGCATGAAACTTTGTCCAAAGGGAATACAATGAGAACAAGTCTCTGCACTTGGTTTCATTATTTTTTATTTTTTATTTTTAGGAGCCCTGGACTTGGTTTTATTTCGGTTTTTTTATTTACTGCAAGCTGCTCTGCACTTATTATAATCGCAGGCAAGGTCAGGACATTCACGAAAGAAACAAAAAGCCTCCCCAGGACTACGTAAAAGAAGAACTCACCTTTTCTCCTCCTTGTCGAGTGTTTGAAGCCCGGATTGTGTTTCCATCCAAAGTGTTTCTTTAGCATATTGGACTCGTAATCATGGACCATCACTGCTTTCTCCGTCGACTATCACTCGTGGCAATCAGACACCAGCGAATCTGAAGGTCAACTGCAATTTGGAACTCGAATCATCGTTATACTATTTTTCGTTCGTACTCCATACATACACACCACGTACGAGCCCTCTAAGAGCCACCCACGCTTGGTGCATTCTATCTCTTCCACTTGGACTGACTTTGTCCCCCGCAAGTAAATTTATCGCTCACCAGATTCACCGGCTTCTTCCTTCTCGTGTGAATTTTAAAGCCCTCGACCTGAATCGCAAGTTACGTCTGAACTAGTCCCATGTATACAACCAGTGTATATACTGTAAAATAGCACGCTTGTCAACTCTAGATTGACTTTTGCGTGATTCTGCGGTTTTGACTCGGAAAGAATGTACAGTCCTCGACATGAAACAGGAAAGTATGAAAGTATGTCAAGAGGGATCTCTCTGGAAACTCCGAATTGGACTTGCGGGTGGAGTGGTGTCCATGTATATCGCACGAGCATAGACTTCACTAAAGTCTTCTATATTTCATGCTTTCTACTTCTCGCAGCCACCTACCATCGTTGAACCTGCTCTGAATCAACTATTCTCAGTTCATCTCTTTTGGTTTTCGGCAAGAAGAGAACTAGACCGGGCCCAGTGCTCATGCTTTTGATCCTAAGTGACACTAGAGTTTGACAAAATTTCTAAGACTTGGACCCTGGTCAAGAATTTTGGGGCATTATGTTCGGTGAGTGAGCTCAGCGGTTCCTTCGTTCAGGTGGACGAACAAATGGAACTGGAATCGTTCTTGCCATGTCGAAGATCGGGCGATATCTACTTCGCCCGACGAAGAAGAAGAAGACACCTGAAGATGCAAGAGAACGGAACTCCGAATTTTGCAACGCTACATGTTCAGCCTGCGACTTGGGTCATGTATTTCCAAACAGAAGCAAGCTTTGGCGTTGGAGACCAATGGTGGGAGGTCAAAGGCAAACGGAGGAGGTGTGCTACTCCGGATCACATGTTCCCTGGTCTCTCTCGCTCGGTCGGTTGGTCGGTCAGCCGAGGAATTCGGAAAGCTCCCTTTCCTTGGTGCATGGGAGCCAATATGAGCTGTCAACACCATCTTCCAAGCCTTCCCTGTGCACCAACTTCTAATCGCGGGTTATCAAGGGACAAAGTAATTAATAAAGCCAACAATCCAAGCATAGCAATCCGTTCATGGGTTTGCATGCATGGTCTCACGTTCCTGAGATGAATGGATGGTTTGAAGTCAGCAGCAGGCATGAAGAAGAAAGAGTGCTCACGCCATATTGTGATAAATATAACTTATTGGCCTTTCCAAACCGCCTCCTTTAATATACCGGTGCCTGCAATAACTTGTTACCATCAACAAGAATCCTCGTTGGGATACTATGCACATAACGTAAAGCCCCCAAATCTCTACAGCAGAGATCCGCCTGTACACAGTGAGTGTATTTGTTCGTTGTCAACAAGACGGTATTAACTTAAGCTGATGGTGAATCTAGAAGCGGTTTGTGATGATATAAATCTGCTAAGTAGTCGAAATGGATGGATGGATGCCATCATTAGTCTCTCGGCAGGCTTGACTGGGCATCAGCAGCAGCAGCAGCAGTTTTGGTGGTAGGTTGCAAAGCACGATCGGTTGAGAATTCAAACTTAAGAGAAAAGGGCATTGATTACGAGATGCCAAACCCAACACCAGCTCAAAAATGGTCAAGAGGCTCGGCACCGTCAAACAACAAGTCCGTGCTTACGTTACCGCCTTCCGTGTCTACATTAAATTTCCCACATCCTGCCCAGCTAAGCAGGACCAGGACACCCTTCGGATGAAGTCGTCAATGTGGATCGAAGGACAAGGGCAAGCTCAAACTGTGGGTCCAGTGCACAAGGCTGAGAAAACTATAGGTTAAAGCGAAGCGAGCGAAATGAGAGGATCCGAAGATGTGGCCACTTAATGTGTCTAACTCTAGCGGTTCAGACAGAATCCACTCGAGCTCGTGAGACTCGAAGGGAGTTATCTGCAGAGAAAAGCCCCATTAATGTACGACATCGAGGATTGGCATCAATTTACTGTACTGAAGTGGAGTGGAGGACGCTGTAGATGTTGATCTCCCATTGCACACACTGCACCATTTGTGTACCCAGAATCCATTGATTGATCTAGTGCTTGCCTACGCCCATTATTTTACTACATGCCCCTGCATAACGCAACTTTTCCCACTAGGTGCCAAAATCCATCGGTCTGCTAACTGTCGACTCCTGTTACATTGTTCCTATCCAACGATACCAACGAGTTACAGCCAGCATTCATGTGAACGACACTCGATTCTCGACCCTGTGCCCACTGCCCCGCTGTTCCCGGCTAAAGAAAGGAATGACGGGCATCGAGAAGTATAGTTTACAGAATCACAGAGAGGATACAGCCGACAGATTGACATCAGAGCCCAGACCTGGCCCGGATCGGTAGCCAGAAGTGGCTGTGGCTGCTGCTGCTACTTTTGGCGGTGCTTGCTGCCTCTGTTGACTCGAATGCTCTATTTAGATGGGGTTTCTGAAAATTGCCCAATTTGGGCGGTCACGAGACTTTGGCATACGATGGACTTGCGAGGAGTTAGTCGGCCACGACTCATCGAAGCGCAGATGAGCTTGCTTGCTGGCTGGCTAGCTTGCTGTGATGAATGTTCCACTTTCTGGTTTTCACTCATTTATGGATCCAGGCTCATGTTGATATTCCTCCCTCCCGTCATCAAGTTTTTCACCGCACTCGCATCGAGAGTTCATTAGTTTTTGGCTTTC